GGGTTTGAGTTAAAAAATGGGAGATTTAAGTGAGATCTCAGGAGCAAACTCTTCCCCATGAGGGTGGTGAGAGCCTGGCCCAGGTTGGCCAGAGAAGCTGTGGCTGCCCCATCCCTGGAGGGGTTCAAGGGCAGGTTGGAGGGGGCTTGGAGCAACCTGGGCTGGGGGGAGGTGTCCAGGTCACTGGGGCATCCTGGAGGTCCCTTCCCACCCAAACCATTCCATGATCCTGTGGTTCCACAGGAGGTTTCTGGAGCCCTGTGGGGTCACCGCAGCGTGTCCAACAGCCTGGCTCCTCAAACCCTCGTTATTTGCTGCTTTTATTGGTAAAACCTGCCTTTTATAGCATTTTTTCGCCTCCGAGTCACCGTTTTGCCCTCTCCCAGGGCTGGGAAAAAAACCACGCTGGAGTTTTGTTTTTTTTTTTTTCAGAGGGGAAAAAAACCCAACAAACCAAACCCCCAAATCCCTGCGTTTCTATAAAAGGAAGCGTCTCGGGGAGCTCTGGGGCCGGAGGAGCCTTTTGGAACAAAACTTTGGGAGCGGGAAGTGTTTGTGTTTGGGGAGGGACCCGTTATCGGGCGCCCGCAGAGCGGAGACGCCGAGGAGGCCCTTCCTCCTGCCGGGGAGGAACCCGTGGCCACCAGAAGGAGGGAAGTGGCCACTACGGAAACGGCTGAGGTGGCCGGATGCACCCGGTGGAGCTGCTCCGGTCGGTTCCTTCTCCCAGGGAACAGGAGATGGGATGAGAGGAAATGGCCTCTGGTTGCACCAGGGGAGGATGAGGATGGATGTGGGGGAAATTCCTTCATGGAAGGGGTTGTGGAGCTGCTCCAGTTGGTCCCTTCTCCCAAGGAACAAGCTGTGGGACCAGAGGAAACGGCCTCTGGTTGCCCCAAGGGAGGATGAGGATGGATACTGGGGAAACTCCTTCATGGAATCTGGTTGCCCCAAGGGAGGATGAGGATGGATGTGGGGGAAAACTCCTTCATGGAACAGGTTGTGGAGCCTCGGAAGAGGCTGCCCAGGGACGTGGTGGAGTCGCCATCCCCAGAGACCTGTCACCGTGGGGCTGAGGGACACGGCTCAGCAGAGACCTGTCACCGTGGGGCTGAGGGACACAGCTCAGCGGTGGGTTTTGGTGGCGTTGGGTTGACGGTTGGACTCCATGATCTGGAAGGTCCCTCCCAACCTCCACAGTTTTTGGATTCAGCGTCTCCTGACTCGGTGTTGAGTTGGACCTTCTCTCCCTCCAGACAATCCGTGGTGGTTTTTGGGCTCTGACCCATCTCCTTGGGCATGTCCTGAGTGCTCCTCACCCATAATGATGGTTACGTGTCCTCAGCGTTTCCCAAAAACGTGATAAACTGAAGGAGAAACCTGCCCTTGTGGCTTCCTGGGGGTCCATGTCCCTCCCTCTCCCCTCCAGGGCGTCTTCCCCAAAGGAGAAGCTCTCATGGACATCTCCAGAGACCCTTCTCACACCGACCAGTGGCCCCCGAGACCTCTCCCTGGTGAGTCCTTGGCTCCTGAGTGTCCCATCCTGGTGGCCACCTCCCAGTGCTGGCGTTTCCAACCAAACCCCTGGGAGATCCTGGTGGCCTCCAGCCCCCGTCCCTAGTCCCCGGGGTCCATGGGGGCGGGGAGGGGGCGAGAGGAACCCTCGGAGAGGGCTGGAAAGAGGCAAAAAAAAGGTGTTTTGAGGATTTTAGGGTTTTTAGTGCGGAAGGGGCCGGGCTGTGAGGAGCCCCCCGGGGATGGGACGTGTCTG